ATATAAAACAAAAATCGAAGTTTACCAATTCCTGAGACTATTTTAGGATCCTTAAACAAGAAAGAGTCTTAAACCAGACGTCAGAAACTGGAGAGGATTTCGGCCACTGCAAGCAAGAAAGTCCTCAGACGTCTGTCCAGATGTGAAAAGATGAGGAAAGTCAAGGTCTAGAAGGCCCCAGGCAATGCTGCATGAGGGACTGGAAGGTGACAAACATGCGTCTAACTCCATCGCTATCCAGAATGTCATGAGGAGAACATATCGAGTCCTGTTTCAGGGGAATGGGAATGTGAACAGGCAGAATAAAGAATTGGCAGATGGATTGGAGGAAAGGAAGTACAAATATCGTAGTAGATATGGAATAGTCAAGAAAAAAAAGAAAAAAAAAAAAGTTGAGTAGAGAAGGTACAGAATAAGTAGATGGGTTAAAGACTAGGCAGATCTGATAAGAAACGAAATAATTTAAGGAAGAAAAAAAAGCATATGTATAAATGGATGAACAATGGGAACAAGAAGAAAATGAACATATTAGAAAAGCTAGGTAGATCTAATAAAGGTGATGAGGAGAAAGGTGGGTAGTACGTTGGAGGAGACAAAAATGGTGGAATGGGACTAAGACAAAGAATGAGCAGATAGAGTGGTGAATGAAAGTAACTCAACCGATGGATACCCGAAGGACAAGTATCCTAGTAAAGAGAGCAGAAAGGTCTAGAAGGAAGAATTAAAGAGATGAAAGGGTGAAAAAGTTGGGTAGAGTAGGTGAAAGGAGAAAAGAAAGGCAAATAGAAGCAGAGGAAGGACAGATTTACTTGGTAACGAAAGATAGCCATGTGAGAAAGGATAATAAGGTGGAGCAAAGGAAGACATATAAGATGGGTAAGTGTGTATGACTGACAGTAAAATACCCCCATGAGTTTTATTTAACCAATCTGCAAGCCAGAAATCAATCATTAAACCAACTATCACACTAGGATCATATGGAGGGAGAACACAGTAATACAGACAGAAGATAAGTAACAGGAACTGTAAACGTTGCCTTATGGCTTATAGTACGATGATGCACTGCTAGCAGCCAGGAAGTACTCTAGACGCGTGGCATAGCTTGTTGTAAGAATACATATCGGGAATCAGTTATCTGTCCTTAATGCATGTGGACAGGCCCGGACTGGCCATCGGGCATACTGGGCAAATGCCCGGTGGGCCGCGATGGCCGTGGGGCCGAGGCCGGCAGGGGATCTCCCCGGCCGGCCTCTGCAGGGCCAGCACTATCCGAGCGCCGGCCCTGCTATGTGTCTCCGTGGGCCGGTGGGGGAGATCAAAGATCTCCCTCACCGGCCCACAGACAGGGAGATGCGGCCGCCGGCTGGGAGAGGGAGGGAGGCAGGGAGGAGAGGACCGGCGGAGCTCTAACAAGCAGGCTGGGGAGGGAGGGAGGCAGGGAGGAGAGGACCGGCGGAGCTCTAACAAGCAGCTCCGCCGGGTCCTCTCGCGGGATTCTGAGCGTTGCCGCGGTTACCGCGGCAACGCTCAGATCTCGCGAGAGTGAACTCTAACCTGCAGGTTAGAGTTCACTCTCACCACTGGACCACCAGGGAAGGCAGCATGGCTCCCCCGGCAAAACGGATCTCTTCCCCCCCCCTCCCAGGATAAAGGTAAGAAGGGAGGGGGTGGGGAAATATATATTTTTTATTATTAAAATAAATATTTAAATAAAAAATACATTCACACTCTCACACACACAGCACCCCCAGACACACACAGCACCCCTATACACAGCACCCAGACACACACAGCACCCAGACACAGCACCCAGACACACACAGCACCCCCAGACACACAGCACACAAGAGGGGATATATATATATATATATTTTTTTAATTAATAAAATAAATATTTAAATTTAAATAAAAAATACATTCACACTCTCACACACACAGCACCCCCCAGACACACACAGCACCCATACACAGCACCCAGACACACACAGCACCCAGACACACACAACACCCAGACACACACAACACACAGACACAGCACCCCCCAGACACACACAGCACCCAGACACAGCACCCAGGCACACACAGCACCCCCAGACACACACAGCACCCCCAGACACACACAGCACCCCCAGACACACACACAGCACCCAGACAAACACACTTTTGGAGCACACCACAGTTGCACCCAGACACACACATTTTGAGCACACAGCACCCCAGACACAGCACCCAGACAGACACACACAGCACACAAGTGGGGATATATATATATATTTTTTTATTAATAAAATAAATATTTAAATTTAAATAAAAAATACATTCACACTCACACACACCGCCCCCAGAGACACACAGCGCACCCAGACACACACACAGCACCCCCAGACACAGCACCCAAACTCACACTGCACCCCCAGACACACACAGCACCCTCACTCACACTGCACCCCCAGACACACACAGCATACTCCCACACATATACACCACACACATATATATATATATATATATATATATAAAATAACCCTCAGTGAGTTAACAGACAAAGAAAATTAGAAACCTAGAATGTGACAGCAGATAAAAACACCCTCACACACAGCACCCCTCTTACATACACACACTGCGCCCCTCACACATAAAATAAGTCCAAATATATATATATACACACACACACACACACACACTACAGCACCCCTCACACTGCACCACTACACACATTACGCTCCAGATACACACTAGATCCCTTACCCTATATGCACTCTTAATCCTCTACACACACTCACACACACACACACACACACACACACAGGGTCCTTTACACAGTAGATCTCCTACACACACACACACACTACATTCCTTGTCAGCAAACACATACAACATTCTCTAAACACACCCTCTCTGCAACCCCTACACACACTACGTCACCTATACACATACACTTCAGCCCGTATGCACTCTCTCGCTGTATCCCACACTCTCTACAGCCCCTAGCCACACATATTACACCACAAACACAAATTAAATTGACCTATTTATACAATACCACAATACACACACACAATCCCACAAGCAGGCTCCAAACATATGCACCATGCACTTTCCTGGCCCTTTTGTCCTCTGGTATCCCACTTGTGGAGACACCAGAGACAATTTAAAAGCAAACACAGCGCAAGCATGTTATTAAATTTGCTTGCGCTGCGCAGAATAAATTCAGGGCCTTTTTCTAGTGCCAGAGCTCTTTAGCAGGGCTCTGGGCATTGAACCAACATGCTCACTTTGAGAGGGGACATGTTGTCATTAGTGATGACAAAACACACACTTTCTGGCCCTGCCCCCTTCTTAGGGGGCCTCTCTGATTGAAAAATGCCCGGGCCTAATTTTTTCCCCAGTCCGGCCCTGCATGTGGACATCACACCCACAGTCTGACATTTCTACATCCTGATACAGCTTCCCAAAAATTCCAGCAGCTTCCTTTTAACTAACCAAAATGTAAGGAATTTAAATAAGAGAAAATGGAATGACTGCTTCAGCTCCCTAACAACCTACAATGTAAAAGATATAAGATATTATACCGCAATATTTCGGCAAAGGATGAAACACTAACAGTTTTTATTCACAAAATGCAAACCGTTTGCAAAATAAGTCCAAATGGGAAAAAAAAGAAAAATCTGATCTGTAAAAATTCTCTGAGCCAGTCATAGCTTGACTATTTAACCTTAGTTTTGCCATTCATACTTTACAAGGGACACTATAGGCACCCAGATCACTTCATCTCACTGAAACGGTTTGGGTGCAGTGTCCTTATCCCCCTTCGTCCTGCAATGTAAGTCATTTCAATTTTAGAGAAACTGCAATGTTTATTTGCAGTACTAAGACTGCCTCTATAGGCACTTCCTGTAGTATCATGGAGTTTGACTCTGTGAAACAACGCTGGACGTCCTAATGCTCTGCGTGAGGACATTCAGTATCTGAGAAAACCCTGTAGGAAGGCATTGGAGCAATGCTTTCCTATGGGTAAAGTCTAATGCTCGCACACATGGTCAATAGGTCCACCTAGTGGAGGCACAACTCCACTTAAAAAGGACTTTGGCTCTGGAATTGGGTAAATTAATAAAGGGTTATTCAACCCTTTACATCGTGGGGAAGTCGCATGGGCAGTGAAACACATTAGGAATATATCTTTGTATTCCCAACACTAAAGCAAAGTGTTCCTTTAATGTGTGGGGAGAAACTTATTAATAACCCTGAAATTGTGTAACTTTACATAGTTTTTTTTTTTTTTTTAATGTATCCTTAAGCACTGTTCTCAAAGTTGCAGTTTATCCCACTGTGCATGGTCGCAATATTTCAAATAAATGCATTTTTGTTTTTCGAACTAAAGGAATGCAGTAGGGAAGGAGTTAAACCAGTTTCACTTAAAATAATCATTGCACAGTGGGTTCAATTTATTTTACTTTTTGTAGGCTGGAAAGTTTAACGGTTTTAAAGCCATCTTTAGCAGAACCAGGACATACACATCCCAGTCTGAGATTATTGGGAGTCACACTCCCAAGCTGCAATGTCTGAAACAAACTTTTATTTTTAAATTGCACACAATATACATTAAAACCAAGATGTCTTAAGATGGTCACATTGTAGGTTAAGACCAAATGTGACCGTTTATAAAATATCTCCAAAAGATAGCATGATTTTCCATAATGTGCACTATGCTGTGTGTTTGTATATTTTAGGTTTGTGAGCTAGGGTTGAAGTTAGTATTGGTTGTAGTGTAGGTATTAAGGAGAGTTTTTAAACACACATTGTCCACTGCTGTCTGATACTAGAGGGAATTTGTTTTGGTTTGTAAACACGACAAATTAAAATGGCAGCTGACGTGCATCAACCACTAATTTTAAGCAGACAATGACATGTATGTCAAGACGGAGTACCCAAACTACGGAGGTAATCCGTGTATTGTTCCAGTGTATCATACAATAAAAAAACCTGCACAGATGAGGTCACCATCTGGCAATATAGTATTAGAAAACATAATCTGCTTGTTGGTACAGGCTAATCCTTCCCAATTATGAAAATATGCTGGCTTCAACACAAACCTGCCATCTTCACACTGTCCCTCCATTCACATCTTCCACCAGCACACACAGTGACCGAACAGGAAAACTGCCATTAGGAAGGTTCTCCTGCCCCCCACCGTCAATCAATACTCGTCACACACACACATCTAAGCTGAGAGTTGATCAACAGCTTTCATACTTAACCTCTTCAGGACGGAGTCAATAGTTTACGTTCTGATCAAAACAAAACAAACTGGAATTTGCACCGTAATTCCCCACTGTCACATTAAGTGCACCCACACTTCTTATATATCATTTTGTTCAGGAGAAACAGGGCTTTAATTTATCATTAACTATTCATATATGGAACATAATTTATTATTAATAAAATGTAAAAGAATTTGAGAAAATAAGATTTTGTTTAAATTTATATTTCCGTCTGACATTTTAGCTGTGAATCACCCTGGTGGCAGATCCACAGCTAGCTATAGGGGGCCATGTGATTGCTCTTTGAGAGCGATCACATGGCCCCCGGGGGCTTCTTTTGCCGTGGGAGGGCTGCCTGGGCTGTCAGGCAGTGCTCCCGAAGAGCATCGCGGTTAGGTGAGTATCCCGGACGCTCTGGGGGCTGCAGCCGTTACAGCGTTCTATGCTGCCACAACGGCTTTAAAGCCCATTTAAATGGGGACGGCATAGAACGCTGTAACAGCGTTAAGGGGTTAAAGTATCACTATAGTGTTAAAAACACCATCTATGCCCCTCTGCACTCCCTAAATATTGTATAACCATACCTTTACTCCAGTCTTCTGCTGCTGGCTCTGCATCTGATCTGCCTGCTTGACTGACATTATCAGAAGGGTTGTTCTGAGCCAATCACAATGTTTTCTCATAGGAAAGCATTGGATTGATGGAGACGTTCAAGAAGACCAATCAGAGGCAGAGCCAGCACAAGCCAAACACAGCAGATAAGAACCGTTCAGCCCATCTATTCTGCCCAATTTTCTAAATACTTTCATTAGTCCCTGGCCTTATATTAAGGCTAGGATAGCCTTATGCCTATGCCATGAATGCTTAAACTATCTCACCGTGTTAAGGCTATTTCATGCATCCACTACCCTCTCTGTAAAGTAATAATTTTTAAACCTTTGCCCCTCTAATTTAATTTATGTTCCCTTTGTTGTGGTAGTTTTTCTTCTTTTAAATATAGTTGATTCCCTTTAAATGTTTCTATCCTATCCCTCCTGTCTTGTCTTAGAAACATAGAATGTGACGGCAGATAAGAACCATTCGGCCCATCTAGTCTGCCCAATTTTCTAAATACTTTCATTAGTCCCTAGCCTTATCTTATAGTTAGGATAGCCTTATGCCTATCCCACGCATGCTTAAACTCCTTTACTGTGGTAACCTCTACCACTTCAGCTGGAAGGCTATTCCATGCATCCACTACCCTCTCAGTAAAGTAATACTTCCTGATATTATTTTTAAACCTTTGTCCCTCTAATTTAAGACTATGTCCTCTTGTTGTGGTAGTTTTTCTTCTTTTAAATATAGTCTCCTCCTTTACTGTGTTGATTCCTTTATATATTTAAATGTTTCTATCATATCCCCCCTGTCTCGTCTTTCCTCCAAGCTATACATGTTAAGATCCTTTAACCTTTCCTGGTAAGTTTTATCCCGCAATCCATGAACCAGTTTAGTAGCCCTTCTCTGAACCCTCTCTAAAGTATCAATATCCTTCTGAAGATACGGTCTCCAGTACTGTGTACAATACTCCAAGTGAGGTCTCACCAGTGTTCTGTACAATGGCATGAGCACTTCCTCTTTCTACTGCTAATACCTCTCCCTATACAACCAAGCATTCTGCTAGCATTTCCTGCTGCTCTATTACATTGTCTGCCTATCTTTAAGTCATCAGAAATAATCACCCCTAAATCCCTTTCCTCAGATGTTGAGGTTAGGACTCTGTACTCTGCCCTTGGGTTTTTACGTCCAAGATGCATTATCTTGCACTTATCCACATTAAATGTCAGTTGACACAACTCTGACCATTTTTCTAGTTTACCTAAATCATTTGTCATTTGGCTTATCCCTCCTGGAACATCAACCCTGTTACATATCTTAGTATCATCAGCAAAAGACATACCTTACCATCAAGACCTTCTGCAATATCACTAATAAAAATATTAAAGAGAATGGGTCCAAGTACAGATCCCTGAGGTACCCACTGGTGACAAGTCCAAGCTTCAAATATATTCCATTAACTACAACCCTCTGTTGCCTGTCACTCAGCCACTGCCTTACCCATTCAACAATATTGGAATCCAAACTTAAAGATTGCAGTTTATTGATAAACCTTCTATGTGCAACAGTGTCAAAAGCCTTACTGAAATCTAGGTAAGCAATGTCTACTGCACCACCCTGATCTATAATTTTAGTTACCCAATCAAAAAAAATCAATAAAATTAGTTTGGCATGATCTCCCTGAAGTAAACCCATGTTGTCTCTGATCTTGAAATCCATGTGTTTTTAGATGTTCATCAATCCTATCCTTTAACATGATTTCCATCACTTTCCCCACTACTGAAGTAAGTCTTTCCTCCAAGCTATACAGGGAGTGCAGAATTATTAGGCAAATGAGTATTTTGACCACATCATCCTCTTTATGCATGTTGTCTTACTCCAAGCTGTATAGGCTCAAAAGACTACTACCAATTAAGCATATTAGGTGATGTGCATCTCTGTAATGAGAAGGGGTGTGGTCTAATGACATCAACACCCTATATCAGGTGTGCATAATTATTAGGCAACTTCCTTTCCTTTGGCAAAATGGGTCAAAGAAGGACTTGACAGGCTCAGAAAAGTCAAAAATAGTGAGATATCTTGCAGAGGGATGCAGCACTCTTAAAATTGCAAAAAGCCTGGAAGCGGATTCACCTGTAATCAATCAAGCCGCTTCTTTATCTAAAATAGCCGTAACAGGGTCGCAAGAAACGCGGTGGAAAACCAAAGGCGCGAAAATAACTGCCCATGAACTGAGAAAAGTCAAGCTGCAGCCGCTACTTATGCTACTGAGAAAAGTCAAGCGTGCAGCTACCACGATGCCACTTGCCACCAGTTTGGCCATATTTCAGAGCTGCAAAATCACTGGAGTGCCCAAAAGCACAAGGTGTGCAATACTCAGAGACATGGCCAAGGTAAGAAAGGCTGAAAAACGACCACCACTGAACAAGACACACAAGCTGAAATGTCAAGACTGGGCCAAGAAATATCTCAAGACTGATTTTTCTAAGGTTTTATGGACTGATGAAATGAGAGTGAGTCTTGATGGGCCAGATGGATGGGCCCGTAGCTGGATTGGTAAAGGGCAGAGAGCTCCATTTCGACTCAGACGCCAGCAAGGTGGAGGTGGAGTACTGGTTTGGGCTGGTATCATCAAAGATGAGCTTGTGGGGCCTTTTCGGGTTGAGGATGGAGTCAAGCTCAACTCCCAGTCCCACTGCCAGTTCCTGGAAGACACCTTCTTCAAGCAGTGGTACAGGAAGAAGTCTGCATCCTTCAAGAAAAACATGATTTTCATGCAGGACAATGCTCCATCACACGCGTCCAAGTACTCCACAGCGTGGCTGGCAAGAAAGGGTATAAAAGAAGAAAATCTAATGACATGGCCTCCTTGTTCACCTGATCTGAGCCCCATTGAGAACCTGTAGTCCATCATCAAATGTGAGATTTACAAGGAGGGAAAACAGTACACCTCTCTGAACAGTGTCTGGGAGGCTGTGGTTGCTGCTGCACGCAATGTTGATGGTGAACAGATCAAAACACTGACAGAATCCATGGATGGCAGGCTTTTGAGTGTCCTTGCAAAGAAAGGTGGCTATATTGGTCACTGATTTGTTTTTGTTTTGTTTTTGAATGTCAGAAATGTATATTATTTGGCAGATATTTGAGATGTTATATTGGTTTCACTGAAGTAATAATAAATAATTGAAATGGGTATATATTTGTTTTTGTTAAGTTGCCTAATAATTATGCACAGTAATAGTCACCTGCACACACAGATATCCCCTATTAGCTAGGAAAAACTAAAAAACAAACTAAAAACTACTTCCAAAAATATTCAGCTTTACATTATTAATGAAAGGTTTTTGGGTTCATTGAGAACATGGATTTGTTGTTCAATAATAAAATTAATCCTCAAAATACAACTTGCCTAATAATTCACACTTTCCCTGTATGTATGGCAGCATATGTATGTGTATATATATATATATATATATATATATATATATATATATATATATATATATATATATATACACACACACACATATATATATATATACACATATCCAATTTGCAATAGGTGACCAGCACTCACGGATTCATGAAAGGGTTAAAACATCCAAAGTTTAATGAAAAATTTAAAAATTGTTGACAGCTCAACGTTTCAGTCCACCTCTGGGACTTTCATCAGGAACAATATATATATATATATATATATATATATATATATATATACACACATATATATATATATATATATATATATATATATATATATATATATATATATATATATATATATATATATATATATACATATATATATATATAAATATATGTGTGTGTATATATGTGTGTCTGTATACTAGAACATAAGTACATTCAGGGCAGGGGGTTGATATGCTTCACTTTTTTCCAAGTCGAGAACTTTCGCTTAACCACTCTTTATGCTCCATTTTTAAGCCAGTTTTCAAAATTGATTTTCTCTAAAACGTCTTTGCAATTTACCTTATTATTTTGCATCAAACAATATCAAGTGTTAATCTCTAAGCCTTTTATGGATCAGATTGGTGATCTCAAACAGAGGTTATAGATTAATGTACTATTATTATGAGGGTTTGCATTTTGCTGTACTCATGTCCATGACCTTTATCTTCCTAATCTGCTGGAAATCGCTCCTGTGGCAGAACGGCTTCAAACACTAGATGAAACACACACAATATTTCAGCTTGATAACATGTATTCAGCGTCTGTGCTTTGTCTTGTGAATTTGACTAATGATTGGATAATCTTTAGTAATACAATGCATTTATATTATACTATCTAGGACAGGGTGTAGCGGTATTTCCCTTTCCGGGGGCCGACCGAGGTCCTCTGTTCCGCGTGCGGGTCGTCCGACGGAGTTTACAGGAAGACCGGCACTGACCGCGAGGCCTGGCTCTAAGAGCGCATCGCACGTCTCGGGCACGCTCTTAAAGGGACAGTGGGAGCCGAAATGTGAAACGGTCTCCCATTGGCCCATGTCATTCGACATTCCCCATACACTCACGTTTTCGGGGCGTGGATATGACAGGGGCCAATCAAATTGAACACTAGGGTATTTATAATCACCTTTCCCTTAGCTCCCTGCCCTATCGTGCTTTCTGATTCAGTTCCCTTTAGTGCTTGTATCGCTCAGTAGTGTTTTTTTCGTGTTTGACCTTGGCTTTGAATCTGACTCAGTTTTTCTCTTTATCTTTGCTTTGTCTTGTTTGCCGGCTTCCTGACTCCTGTGTACCAGACCTTGGCTAGTTCTTGTTTTCGCTGTCTCTCTATTCCCTTGACCTCGGCTCGTTCCTGACTCTGTCACTTCTCTGTACTATGTAGAGTCTGGCCATTTTAAGGCCCGGTAAGACGTATCTGCTTTATCTTGTCTCTTGCTGGACTAAATCTTGCGTGTTGGGGTACACTACCGTGACACAGGGGTAGGCAACCTTTTAGTAGTACGGTGCCAGAACAAGATTTTGAAGTCCCTTGGCGTGCCGGTCCTGCTTGGCGTGCTAGCACTCCTGTTGAACCCTAACATTAACCCTAAATGTCCCATGTCCTAAGCTTAGTGAATGCACTAACTATAATGAAAGTGTAAAACTAGTTTTACTTACCTTCCAGGACCTTGCTGTGGAGGAGTAGCAGGAGTGCTAGCACGCATGTGCAGCACAGGATCCAGCTAATTCCCCTCCCCGGAAGTGATGGGGGTATAGCAATCTGACGGGGTATAGCAGACTGATAAAACACCGGACTTGCCAAATACAGGTCAAAGGCAGGAGCTGCAATAGCTGCTGCTGGCTGATTCATTTTAGTGTGGATTTCCATTCACAAGTGCTGGAATTATTTGATCTGAGATAACTCCTGTAAGTGCTGCAACGTGTAAACTGAGGATTTTCCACCGCTCGGTTTGCACTAGGAGATGGCTGAAATCCCATTTGAACTCCTGTTGGGCCAGAGGCTGTTTGGCTCAGGCAGCCTTGAGTGCCACGCAAAGGCAACTGGAGGGTCATGGGTTGCTGATCCCTGATCTAGGAGAATAGATCACCTAATTTTACTGATCCCTGATCGAGAAGAATCGATCGCCTCATTTTACTGATCCCCGATCGAGGAGAATCGATCGCCTCATTTTACTGATCCCCCGATCGAGGAGAATCGATTGCCTCATTTTACTGATCCCCGATCCAGAAGAATCGATTACCTCATTTTACTGATCCCCGATCCAGAAGAATCGATCGCCTCATTTTACTGATCCCCGATCGAGGAGAATCGATTGCCTCATTTTACTGATCCCCGATCGAGGAGAATCGATTGCCTCATTTTACTGATCCCCGATCGAGGAGAATCGATTGCCTCATTTTACTGATCCCCGATCGAGGAATCGATCGCCTCATTTTACTGATCCCCGATCCAGAAGAATCGATCGCCTCATTTTACTGATCCCCGATCCAGAAGAATCGATCGCCTCATTTTACTGATCCCCGATCGAGGAGAATCGATTGCCTCATTTTACTGATCCCCGATCGAGGAGAATCGATTGCCTCACTTTACTGATCCCTGATCGAGGAGAATCGATTGCCTCATTTTACTGATCCCTGATCGAGGAGAATCGATTGCCTCATTTTACTGATCCCTGATCGAGGAGAATCGATCGCCTAATTTTACTGTTCGTTAACGCGATATAAAACTACACAATTTCTTACATACTGTATCAGATACAAGCAACACATCTCAAATTACTGATCACAAACACAGAATAAAAGCTGCCCATCTCTCCTCTGCTATCTGCCTTTCTGCTTGATGACTGGATGTTTCAATGCGCATTTAAAGCAACAAACTGAGGACGTGAATCCCAGGAGCTATAGCGGTCAGTGGTAACGCTGCACAGTATCTATTCTGCTCTCAGTAACACAGTTCCCTCCTTCCAATTACTGGCCCTAAGTTAATAGTCGCTCACACCCCTCTTCAGCATTGAATATCTTAAATATTTTACTTTCCTTTTTTTCAAGTGCTCAGGCCTCTTAGGCTGGCCAGGTCTAATCCTGCTACAGTGTCATTGTGATGGTGGGATATAAAGCACAAGTGCCCATTAAAGTGTCCCCATAGGAAAGCATTGAACTAATTGCAAAGTATGGGGACTGGGAACGTTGGACAGCAAAGTAAAAATCCACATGGGACCTGGAAGCGCCATGTCTTGAAGTTTGCCACTAGAGGTGGAGTTAACCCTGCAATGTAATTACTGCAGCTTCTAAACCACTTTAATGAGAATAATTGGTTAGGGTGCCTATAGTGTCCCTTTAAGGCCAGACTAGCTGAACTGAAAGCAAGGCTGAAATAGAGAATTTATCCACTTTGGATACTTTGACCTTACATTTGAAAATCACTTTGAATTCTCACTTTTTTGACTAACCTTGTTTGTGTGCGTGACTGCATATGATAATCAGTAAAAGGGGAACCTTTACACGTGGTCCATTTAGGAGATTTAGTTAAAATGCAAGGTTTGGATAAACCACATATTTCTGCTGTTTGTGTGGTTGGTAGTTACATCTGATATCAATGTGTCATCAGTTACACTTTATCTCACACAATTCCTCCTGAATATAATAGTGATACAGAGGAGTGTGGGATACTGCATGTCACGCTATTCTCTTTCAGCTGTTTAGGAAAGAGAGCGATTGCATTGACTGGGGCTTAATTTTAACTCTCAGCAAATACTGTCATAGCATGTGTATGGTATGTGTCATCTGACGTGGCACAAGATTTGTCACACGTTCTACACTTCCTAGAGGCTGGTTCATTCACGGAGTTAGTCTGTTAGAGATAATGCTCAGGCTGACAGCACATAAGATCTGTCTGACACCACCAGTCTCACTACTTTCCTGCTACAGAGCTGTTTGAGTTCAGACACTCCTCACTTAACGACCGGTTCCGTTCCTACGACCCGGTCGTAGAACGAATTGGTCGGTAAGTGAGGAGTTAAAGGATTCCCTGCTCTGCTGCGTTCTTCTATTTTCGGGGAAATGTCCCTGACTATAGACTAACGCAGTAGAGCAGGGAATCCCTCTAATCTATGTTCGGATAAATTTTTCCAAGCATACATTAAGGGATTCCCCGCTCTGGTGCGGTCGTCTATGTTCGGGAAAATCAGAGCAGGGAATCCCTCCAGTTCACACGACAGCTCGCACTTACCACTCCGCGAGAGAGCTGGTCGTAAGTGCGAGCCATCGTAAAACAGGTAGGTCGCAAAACGAGGACCACCTGTATAGACAAAAAAACACAACCTACAATATAAAAAGAGACCACAAATGGTGCAGATAAAAATATCGCGGAAAAAAGAAAACACTCTGGGGAAATTACTTGTATGCTCCAGGAAATAGAAGTGTGCAAGTAAGAGTAAAAACAATAAATAAGATAACAAATAAAGTTGTCCAGCTGCCCTACGCGTTTCATCTGTGTCAACTTCGTCAGGGGCATCCAGCTTGTGTAGTACAGTTCCGCTTTATTTCAGTGTTTAAAAATACCTCCTCCTCCTCCCAGAGTGCCTAAGAGCCAATCCGAGGGAGTATGTGATGTAATCCACCTGGTTGGTCTTCAAATTCAAGCCTCACTTTCATGTTATTCGTGTGTGTATCAAGCCTCTTTTTCAGAATGCTGATCACGTCATCCCCTTCTGGTCATGGGAAAAGTTGCGTTCTTATTTCCTATATTCGGCCGTGGAAGGCATATGCGTTCCACTTCCGTTTTTAAGTCCCATAGTCCTCAAAAGTCCATGTAAGAGAAATAAATATATGAACACAAGAAATATGTAATTATTGTATGATAAAATATCCATTATTCCATAAACAGTCCAAAAATACTCATAAAAAATAATACATATAAAATACCATAGAAATCCATTAGATATAAGCCAGAGACCTCAAGTTAAAAAATAAATATAATAAAATAAAAAAGAGAGACCTCAAGTTAAAAAGTAAACAAGAAACAGAGAAACGGGTTCTAAAGGAAACAAACAATGTCAAAGTCCACATTTAATCCTTCTGGTTGCATGGTTTTAAGAGTGTATGTCCAAAAACCCTCTCTCTCTCTGTCTCAATTTGAGGACTAAATCCCCCCCTCTCTCATCTAACAGGACTCTTTCTATACCAACACATGAAAAATTGTTTAAGTTAAAACTCCAACATTTATTGCAGTGAACCGGCACCGAATGTGTTTTTAAATACTTTTTACTATTATTGCGATGCTCTAAAAATCTCTTTTTAAGTGGTCTGGCTGTCCTGCCCATATATTGACCATTTCCACAGGTTAGTAAGTATACTAAATAAGTAGTAGTACATGTTATGTGGTCTTTTATTTTAAAAGATTCACCTGTAACATTGCTTTTAAAATTCTCAACTTTGTGTGTGGTGTGATGTGACGACCGTAATCTCATCACTGGCTTTTGGAGGGGCCTGTTTGCCAGCCTCCTACCCTGTGACTATGGCCCTGTGGTAGCCTATGTTTAAAAACACTATTTGTGCCTCTTGGACTTATAACAGGCTCTGTTCGTGCAATTGGGACTATATGGATTGTTTACCGAACAGCCGCACGTACCGGAGACCACCCTGGAGCTAAAACCGCGAATAGACTTCAGGGTGACTTGGCCGCGAATGCCTGTGGCAAGAGCGACCTCGCCACTGGTTTTTGAAGGGGACTGATTGCCAGCCTCATGCCTTGGGATTATGATCCCTGGGAGATTTGGCCCTTTAAATACGGTATTTGGGCAGATTGTATTTTATTGTGCTGTTTCTGGCCCTTTAAGAACTGTATTTGGGCTTATTGACTTATATTGGACCGTGCTGCCCCTTTAAGAACCGTCTGGGGACATATTGAGACTTTGTGTGAAAATGCCCCTTTAAGACCATGTCCCCAGACCTTTAAAATCCATTGTCTATGGCTTTCTCCCACTTGGTTCACTAAATGGAGCTTACTGAACGAAGTGCTGTACAGGCGGACCACCCAGAAGTGGAAGTGTGCCATCAGTTTACCTCCCAGGCTGGAGGCTGCTGTAGGTAAATTACCGACCGCTCTTTATTCATTGAAGGCGGTCAGCGGTGTGTGCAGCCAAATTCATGGAACTGAAATCGGCTGCACATTTCAACGAACACCACTGACCCTTACCTTCTCCTCCACCGAGGTTTCAGCCACAGAGACTAAGTCCCGTTCGGAAGTTTGAATGTACTGCTATACTGAGCCAATTGCACGAATGATGCCCGTTTGTACATTCAGTGTGAAATTGACCGACCGCACAGCCCAAATCTATGGAACTGTTTTGAGCAGGAAAATGTGCTTGCGGTCGGTCACAAAGGACCTCCAGCTTACTTTTTATCTACTGGAGGGATTTGTATGATTTTTGAGAGTGTTCATATTTGAAGTATGCTGATTAAGAATGTGATTTTTTTTTTTTTATGAAGATTGAATGTATAGTTTTAAAGTTACAGTATATGTGGTAAAAATAGATTTTTCTTGCCTGTGATAATTACTTTAACCCATTGTGTTCAGTAATTATATCACTGGCAGAGGGGAGGATTTTGTGGGAATGAATGGGAGTGTTTTACTATATATTACGTGTTTGGTTGTTCTTCAAAACTCTGTGGACAGTACTATGTGTGTAAAATGTGCATAAAAGCAGAGTGTTTTCATTAAAACTTCAGTTCTACTTCACCCTCAATTTGGAGTCCCGTCTCTTATTAGGGGAACCTGCTACAAGGGATTGCTATGCTCTGCATATTCCCTTGCTTTAATCACTCCTAAGCTCTTTTAAGAGCTTGTTCCTGCCTTGCTCTGAAGGAAGAGAGGTTCGGTCTGCGGTGGTTGTGGTGTCGGCTAGAGTGCTTGGAGCCCTCAGGAAGCGCTAGGAGCATCCTTCAACTGAGGTACCCAGTGGGGTGCCAGGCCATCCGTTACAATGCCCTGGAACTATTTTCGGCATGAAAACCTTGCGGTTCCCGGTCGGTCCTCCAGCGACACTTAGCTGTGATTCTATGGAACTATTTCCGGCTATGGGACCATGCTTGCGGTC